CCTCACTGTCCTCACTTAACAACAACAACAACAACAAAAAAATAATTAAGGCTGATTTATTCCTGCTAGCAACTCATGATATATTCTGTATTCTTGGCCAACACTTTCTGGCATTTAATTTTTATCATAATCTCCCCAACTGGAATTTAAATTCTGATATTAGAGATGAGGACCCGTACTCTTGTATTTCCTTAAGCAGATGTGAGTGAAACATGGTAGTAAAAGGAAAACTTTATAGGAAAAATAAGATTGTGTGTTATGTTTTAGGCCTAGTGTAGTGAGACTTCTGTTTTATGAGGGAAAAATGAGGAAGTGAGGGTAACTATCAGCTATGTTTTCACCCAGGCCTCTCCTCAATTCAGAATTCTGGGATTCTAGTGACATTTGTTTGACTAACAGAATAGAGAGGACTAGGGAAAAGGAATTATAAATTAACATTAAATTTGCAAGACTGGAGGACCATGAAGGGCAAAGTACCATTGCCAGAAAAGCAGGACAGATTGATTGGAGGGGGAAGGGATGTTGGTTTAATATTTGCCATATTTTGCCATTATTGAGAGTTTCTAATGAAACTTGCCTTTTAGGAAATAGGAAATAGGAGCTTGTGGAGAGATGTGAATTGAAGAAGGGAAAGCAGGCCGCAAAAGGGTTTGGATCAAGAAAAAAGAGAGGAAAGGACATTGAGAGACTTGCTCTTATGTCTGCATATGTTGTTGTTATGTGCCATCAAGTCGCTTGCGACTCATAGCGACCCTGTGTACAACAGCCCTAAACTCTGCTCTGTCCTGTGCCAATCGCACTGTCTCTCACACTCCCATCCCGATTATCCCAGTCACTGAATCAATCCACCTCATAGAGGGCCTTCCCCTCCTGCGCCGTCCCTCCACCCTCCCAGGCATGATGTCCTCCAAGAACCGGTCTCTCCTCACAAGATGTCCAAAGTATGTTAGATGGAGCCTCAGAATCCTTGCCTCCAAGGAGCCACCCGGTTTAACCCTTTCCAGGAAGAATCTGTTTGTTTTCCTAGCAGTCCATGGTATTCTCAACACTAGTGGACATGATAGCCATTTGGAAAGTGAGGAAAGCTTATGTTTGTTTGACCAGTAAAAATGAGGAACTTGACAGAGAATTTCAAATCCCTCTTGGTTTCAAGGAGACAAAGAAGGAAGTACAATCAGCCAAGATCAGGTGATTTGAAAAACGTGGCACTGATTGAAATAGTACTGTGAAAGCTGAAACCTGGGGGCTATGTTATCTGAATTTCAAGAACCCACCTTCTACCACATGAAAAGGGACTCTCCAGAGCTCTTCAAGCATACTTTCATTTCTCCAGGAAGAGATTTAGGCATAGAAGGTGGTTTGAGGTGAGGTTTTTCCATGGGAAGTTGATCATAGTAAATATTTTCAGAAAAGACTGAGTTAGAACTAATCATTACTTAAAACTGGATTTTAAAAATCAAAGTACTATCTTTGTATCTTTTTATCTCACTTCTCCCACATTATAAAGTTAATTTCTCACCTAGTAGTAGTTTGTTTCCACTGTTAAAAGTCCACTGTTAAATGTTCTTTTTATGGTGACAGGATGACAAATAGCTTTATTTATTGAATGTTTCTTAAAGACATTATTTATCCATTTTTAAGTAATAATAGATAGTAAATGTTGTTGTTGTTATGTGCCATCAAGTCGCCTGCGACTCATAGTGACCCTATGTACAACAGCCCTAAGCCCTGCTCTATCCTGTGCCAATCTCACTGTCTCCGACACACCTACCTTGATTACCCCAGTCACTGAATCAATCCACCTCATAGAGGGTCTTTCTTTCCCGCACTGTTCCTCCACCCTTGCAAGCATGATGTCCTTCTTCAAGGAATGGTCCCTCCTTGCAACATGTCCAAGGTATGTCAGAAGAAGCTTCAGAATCTTTGCCTCCAAGGAGCCACCTGGTTTAACCTTCTCTGGCATGAACCTGTTCATTTTTTTAGCAGTCTGTGGTATATTCAGTACTCTTCTCCAGCACTGCAGCTCGAAAGATCAATTATCCTTCTATCCTCCCTAGTCATTGTCCAGCTCTCTGATGCATAACAAGTGATAGCAAATGTAAATCTCAAAAATATATTGGGAAATAACTGGAAATATTAGATACAGAGCTGAGGAGAGAGACACTCTTATATCTGTTGTAGTGGTAGAGACAAGGACTAGAAACTACTATTTTAGTATGTTGGATTTGGATATGAAAGTGTGACTAATAATTTACAGGTTAAAGTATTACTAAACATTAACCAACTGTGAATTTATGTTGGCAATTTAGAAGAGCTCTTCCATAGAAAATATACTAGTAACTAGGAAATGGGAAATTATGCCTGAGATTATAGCATATATTTACGCTTAGAGTTATACCTCATTTTCTTGTGTTTCACAGATACTGTATTGTTTACGTACTGAAAATTTGTGGCAAATTTACTTCAAATAAGTCTGTCAGTGCCATTTTCCAACAACATATGTTTACTTTGTCTGTGTTTTATTTTTGTAATTCTCACACTATTTCAACCTTTTCATAAAGTACTGTACAATTAGGGATTAACCACCCCAAATCAACAGATGTATTACTGTTAAGTCAGTGTCAACCCATTGTGATCCTCCTTCATGTTTTTAAATTGTAAATTTTTATAGAAAGATACTACCCATCTTTCTCCCCCAGACAGCTCGTGGATTTAAATCACTGACCTTCGTATTAGCAGTGCAACACCTACATACACACATCATCAGAATTTTATAGTATGGTGTAAACATGATTTTTATTATGCTGGGAAAGTGAAAAATTTATATGATTTGCTTTATTGTGATATTACTGTGGCAGTCCAGAATAATCAAGTCTGTCATATCTCAGAAGTATTTCTGCATACCTATTCTTCTAAATGTACCACTCTATGAAAAAATATAAGAAGTATGAAATGTATAAAGTGCATGCATAATAAAACAAAGCATGTTCTAGAAATTGTGTTATTTTAATGAGACTCTTTTAAGAAAATGGATATTTTCTTTGTCCCTTAACCAAAACTAAACCTGGTAAAATGTGACTGATAATATAATTTTATGTAACTAGCATTCAGTTAGGGAGATTTGAAAAGTTCCTCCAAACAGCTCTTCACTCTGATAATGTGCTTTTTAAAAAAAATATTCAAAAACTGAGGAAGATTATGCTCTTTTACTATAAAATTGAATTATTTTATGCTCATATAAGATAGTGTCAAAAATATGATTGACTATACTTTCACAAGATAGTTTTAGATTTTACAGTTTTGAGAAGTTTAAACAATATAATATTGTTCATTGAGTCATCTTAGTATAATGATAGGTAACTGTACCAAAAGAAATTAGCTGACACAAAAGAATTTCATAAAACAACATATGAGAAAGGACCTGTGGTGATGAAGGAAGACGTTCAGGCGCCTCTGATAAAATTGGCAAAAAACAAGGGCCCAGGAATTGACAGCATACCAACTGACATATTTCAGCAGATGCTGCCCTGGATGCACTCACCAAGTTGGGCCAAGAAATCTGGAGGACAACTACCTGGCCACCTTACTGGAAGAGAACCATATTTGTCCCCATTCCAAAAAAAAGGCGACCTGACAGAGTGTGAAATTATTGAACAATATCATTAATATCACACGCAAGCAAGAGCCTGAAAATTATCTAGAAATAATTGGAACAGCATATCAACAGAGAACTTCCAGATATGCAGGCTGGATTTAGAAGAGGCCATGGTACTAGGGATATTATAGCTAATGTTAGATGGATCTTGGCTCAAAACAGAGAGTGATAGAGGAATGTCTATCTGTATTTCATTGACTACGCAAAAGCATTTGTGTGGATCACAACAAACTGTGCGTAACTTTGAGAAGAATGGAAATACCAGAACACTTGATTGTACTTTTGTGAAACACAGCATTGTTCAAAATCGAGAGGGGTATACTTCAGGGATGTGTCTAATCTCCATATTTGTTCAATCTATATGCATATCAGATCATCCAGAAGGCTGGCTCTCTGAGGAGGAATGTGGCATCAGGATTGGAGGAAGACTCATCAACAATCTGTGTTATGCAGATGACACAACCCTGCTTACTGAAACTAAGGGAAATCTGAAGTGCTTGCTGTAGAAGGTCAAGGATCGCAGCCTTCAATATGGATAGAAGCTCAACATCAGGAAAACAAAGATTGTCACCTCTGGGCCAACTGGTAGCATCATGATAGAGGTGAAGATATTGAGATTGTTAACAGCTTCAGTTTACTTGGCTCCACAATCAACACTCTTGACACCACCAGCCAGGAAATCAAAAGACAAATTGCATTGGGAAAATCTGCTGTCAGGGACTTGTCCAGAGTACTGAAGAGCAACCATATTATCTGGCGACTAAGTTGCACCTGATCCAGGCCATAGTCTTCACAATTACTTGCTATGTATTAGAAAGCTGGACAGTGACTAGGCATGCATGATAGGAGAATTTATGCCTTTGAGCTGTGGTGCTGGAGAACAATATTGAACATACCATGGACTGCCAGGAGAACAAACAGGTTCATCCTAGGAGGATGAAATCAGGTTGCTCCTTGGAGGCAAGGTTCCTGAAGCTTCATCTGACATACTTTGGGCATGTTACAATGAGGGACCAGTCCTTGGAGAGGAACATCATGCTTGGAAGGGCAGAGGGACAGCACAGGAGAGGAAGACCCTTGATGAGATGAATTGACTCAGTGACTGGAGTGATGAGTGGGGGTAGGTGTGTCAGAGACAATAAGTTTGGCTCAGGTTAGAGTAGGGTACTGAGATGTTGTACACATGATCACTATAAGTCTATAAGTCGTGACTCAACACATGTAACAGTAAAAGTATGTTTCATAGTGTATAGCACTGATGGAAAGAATTTAAACGTTAAACACTTCAATGTCACTGTAACCAAAGTTTTAACTGAGTTTTTTTTGTGTGTGTTTCTTTTAATAGAATTTAATTCCTTTTCGACCTTCAATTCAGTTTCAAGGACTTCAAGGGGTGAGTACTTCTGATTTAGCAAGATAATATAATATGTTTTTACATGCAGTTATACTTAACTTTTAAAAATATATTATCTGGGAGAGGAGGAAGGTAAAGGAAGGGAGGAAAATGCAACAATGAATGAATGAAAATCCAACTTTTCTGTAAACTTTCATTCAAATCACAGTTAAGGTGAAAAATATATTATCACTTGTACCTTTTAATAAGTCATTCTTATTTTTATGTACTTTGTGACCAAATGCGAATTTCTGACATCTTTGAATTATCTTTTCTTCCTTTCTGTAAAAAAAAAAAAAATAAAAAAAATTAAGATATAACTTATGTATTATTTGAGGTGCCTTTGTGGTGCAGTGGTTTAGAATTTAACTGCTCCCTGAATCAGCAGTTCAAATCCACCAGTCATGCCATGGGAGAAAAATGTGACAATATGCTATTATAAATATTTTTAAACTTAGAATCCCTGTGGGGATGTAGTACCCTGCCTACACTGTAGGTAATTATGGGTCAACCAGGTTCAACCCAGTGCCAATGGGTGTGTTATACAATATTTAGAATGGCTTTTTTTTCTTTTTCTAATCATCACTAGTTGCTATTTTTAAACAATTTGTTGAAGCAAATTATGCACTAATGAATTATAATAATATTTAGCTTACCGAAGTTGAATGACTATAACGTGTTAATATTAAGAATGTTGTAATTATACGATTATTACTACTATTAACAAAATTTTGCTGTTTATGCACCTAATTTTATTTTCACACACTAGAAAATGAAATGTTGAAGTAGAAAGATGAAATTTTTCAGCACACATGATAAAAAAATTTTCTTATTGCTATATTTAAAAGTGTAGTAAGTGATAATACCTAATAAAATGAACCTATTTTGTGTATAATAGGTGGTAAGCTTTATAGGAATAAAGTCAGTGTTATTTTTTTAATTTCAATTATTAATGTCTATTATTAGTAAAGTAAGCAGTACATTCAGCCATTACATTTGCTTTCATGAATTTTAAGGTGATAGAGAAAATGCAAGTTTGGGAAGACTTTTAATCCTGATTATTTTAAGTCTACATACTTGTGAATTTTTGTTTAATTATGTTACAAAAGGCAAATCTATTGATGTAAGGAAATAATTTTTAAACTTTGTCATTTAAGAGAGTAAGAATCAAGATATAAATTACATCATTCTATTCTAAGAACACTTCTCAATCTGTTGTGAATAAAACGAATTTGAAGGGCATATTTGTGTGTGGATGTCAGAGCTTTGCTTTTACATGGCTCTTGACAATGAAGTCCTTTTTCCCCTTTCTGAGTAGCTGAGTGTCTATGAATGGGATCCTAATTGGAAGAAGAGCTTTTCTAAATTTTTAAAATATCTTTTTAAGGTAGTTTTTAGTGTTTTGTTTCTATATTTGAGAGATCAGTTTTGATTATTTCTTCAAAGGCAAGATCTTGGAGAGGAGAGTATGATTTGAGCTGCTTGTCTTTCACTGGCAGTTGTAGAACTCTCTCCTTATCCTAGAGTTACTTCCTTCCTTAGTTCTTTTTTCTCATAGTTGAGACTTCAAAGCAAAGGACAGAGGTTTTGTTGAGTTTTTGTTGTTGTTGTTTTAGTTACCCAATTAGACTGAAAGAAGATATTTGCCCATGTTCTAAAATTCCTAATACAAACACACTTGTTGGTACTGCTTGACAGCTGGTTTTCTTTGTTATTTAGGTTAGCCTAGGCCCTAATGTCATTCTAAGACAGGCAATTTTTATTTTAAACCTTGGACCTCTCTTTCTGAATTTTCCTACCTATATCCCCAACAGTTTTCCTGCCCATCTCCTATGTCTTGTTTGTTGTTTTCTTGAACTTCTGGGTCAAATTAAACTCATAACGAGCTCTATGTTGATGGACTAGAACACCCCTTAACATTCCCTAGGCTGTAATCTTTACAAAAGTAGATCACTAGGTTGCTTTTCTGCAGAGTGGCTGGTAGATTTGACCTACTGATTTTTCTTTCATTTAGCAGTGAGTGTTGAACTGTTCACCAGATTCCACTTCTTTTTATCAGACCTCCTCCACAATTTCATTATTGCGTGCTCATTTTCCTCTCCTCTCTTGCTAAACTGATAAAAGTAATATATATAAATGACTCTGGTCAGTTTTAACCTTAGTAGATGTTTGCATTTTAACAAATAAGGCTTTTTAACTCAAGTGAATGGTTTCTGGGTTTGGTCAGGGCTTTTAAACAAATTCGGTAATGGCTGGCACAGCAAAATTGGAACAGGCCCAAATTTGTACAATGTGAGTATACTGGAATGGGAAAAATTGTGGTTGAAACTCTGGAGTGAGACTCAGAAGCCCTTTCAAGAACTCGATGTAGGAGGCCAGATTCTTGCCAGGACTATGGAGGGTAACATATAATCAAATTAGCATAACCATCTTTAAATTAGGTAATATTGTTTCTGATTCTGCTGATCAAGAGATTTGATATATATTGTACATGCCACTTTTCCTTCCTAAGAGAGATTACATTTCTAACAAGACATCAATCCTTATATTTTTTTTTTTCTGCTCTGGTTATTATTACAAATATGTGCCAGGACTGAGCTGAAAAGAACCAGTTCAAAGCCTTGGGTTTATAGAGTAGTAGATGGGGTCAGAGAGTGTTGCTGACTAAGAACTATTATGAGGTACTTGGCCCTACCTTGCTTATTCTGGGTACTGTTCTCCTTGACCCCCACCCTTGTCTTTTTATTCTAACTGGGAATAGAATATATGGACTCAGCATTGTTTCAGATTCTGCAGCTGCATTCCATCTACCCTTCCCCCCTTCTCTTTGCAGTGCTCTCCCCAGTCTTGTAGGACTAAGTAAAAACAAAGACTCATTACGGGAGAGAGAGTGGGTTGGCACAACCCACAGGGAATATGTGAGCCACAAATGTGAGGGTCTTCTGTACAGTGCTCCTCTGTCTTTCTACAGAGCTGTGATAATTTAACATTGCCTGCACTGATGGTTTTAAAAACTCTGAAGAAGCGTGCTTACAGAGTTTTCCTATGTGGAAAATGTTTAAGACTTTAAATTGGCAGGTTTATTTCCCACAAAAGGCTTTTTCTTAGTGAGAAATTTTAGTTGCCTTTTAATATAGTGTTGTAGAAACTTTTAACACGTTTTCCTAGAAGAAATTTGGTACATCTGTTTAACCAATTTGCAGTCTTTGCTTCAGCCATCATTGAAAAAGGGCATTAACGGTCATGATTGTGTAATTTATAAGTGTATGTAAAACATGACAGTTGCTAATACTCCGTATTTCAAAATATATGTTGTTATGTGCCATCGAGTCGTTTGCGACTCATAGCAACCCTTTGTACGAAAGCCCTAAACTCTTGCTCTATCCTGAGCCAACCTCACCATCTCTGACACACTCACTTCCACCACCCCAATCACAGAATCGATCTATGTCATCGAGGGTCTTCCTCTCCTGCACTGTCCCTCCACTCTCCCAAACATGGTGTCCCTCCCCAAAGACCAGTCCCTCCTTGCAACATGTCCAAAGTATGTCATACAAAGCTTCTGAATCCTTGCCTCCAAGGAGCATTCTGGCTTCACCCTCTCCAAGACAAACCTGTTTGTTCTTCTAGCAGTCCATGATATATTCAACACTCTTCTCCAGCTCCACATCTCAAAGGCATCAATACTCTTATCATCTCTAGTCACTGTCTAACTTGCCGATGGATAGCATGTAATTGCAAAGACTATAGCCTGGATCAGGCGCACTTTAGTCTCCAGCCTGACGTCCGTTGCCCTTCAATACTCTTTTTTTTTTTAATTTAATTTCTTTATTTTTCATTTCTGTGAACATCTACAGAGATTTTGGAATTCCATTCATTCATTGTTGC